TGTGGTGTACAAATGGCCCGCTTACCACGCATGGTTTCGGGGACAGGGTTCGAGCTGGCTCTCGCCTAAACCAACCAAACCTTCTGCTCAGAGGCTTGTGAATTGGTAGCGGATTGGTCTGGGAGGGTAGTAACACTGACTTGTACATCAGCTGGCCCCCGCACTGGTTGTTTAGGCAACACCGCAATAAACCACCATGACTCTGAATGGAAGTGGAACGCATGTCGCATCTCAAAATATGATTGACCGACGGCTAAAAACTCAAAAACTTCCCAGTCCACATGAGTAGTTCACAGCCAAGAAGTGATAAGAGGAAGAACATTCGGAACAGTCACACCATTGTTCGTTAAATCTCAAGGGTGGTTATGGCAGAGGGCGTGGTGGCTAAGAGGCGGGGCTTCGAGGCTGCAATTCTACCTCAACTCTAGAAAAGACAGCGCGACGCAACAACAACGCCCTATATTCTCTTCTGTCTAGGCGCTCTACCAAGAGAGAAAGAACTGTCAATAGAACCTCGAATACGTCGCTGCGAACTACCAAGTTGCCGCACGCGATAGGCGACATCGTTGGCCACGCCCACCAGTGCGGCCAATTACGACTGTCTTCGTCGCATACCCATGAGCAACCGATCACTTTCCTGTGTTCTTGCTTCATGATCCGGCTAGCCCCTGTGGAAGACGGACGACTCCGCCGTGAGCTAGTCAGATCACGCCGCTTACGTCGTGCGCGACGAATGGCGCGGCGATTTCAAAGCTGTACTACCCTATTAGTGGATTATTACTGGAGCCAAGAATTAGCGTAATGTCACGACATCCACGACCCACATTTCGTTGGCGGAGTTGCTATGATACAACTGGAGACTATCAATTCCTGATGATAATAACTCGGGCAAAGTGAATGACGTCGATCACGTTATCCTAGATTGCGCCAAGTAATCGAGTTTCATACAAAATTGTAGAGGCGTCCGATTTCGGCTATAGCTTGAAGAAAGTGTATGTTCCGGAATTTTCCACCTTCCCAGATAAATTGGTTCAGGATAGTCTTCACCGTCGAATCAGTCTATTTTCGGGATGCGGCATGCATTCAGAATCGTGGTGGCTTATTGAATGCGATGTGGCCTACACAATGACTTCCGGGGCCAATATGAATTAGTTGTTTTATCCTACCCGGACGACTCCGGTACCAATTTACCAGCCCCTGAGGGTAGAAGGCTTGGTTAGGAGTGGTGTGGTGTATGTAGGTGAGAGCTGGCTCGGAACTGGACCCAAAACCGTACGTGATAAGCAGGCCACTTGTACACCCCTTCTCCGCCCCAGTAGAGATGTTTGAAAATAATACCACTATTATCTTGAATTCGCTTTTAGAAGGAGCGACTAAACGCCCACGTAGGTAGATATCCGGAAACTCATTCGCAACGTCGAATATTGTGTCAGATATCTGTAACAGTCGGTTTCAAATAGAAGCAGCCAGCAAGATCCGAACTACAAACTAAGGACATAAACCATGTTTCATGAGGAGAAAGGGCGCTGTTGGGCTTAGGCGAGGGAGGGGGGCATTCTGGAGTTACCGTAATTTTGTTTACTATTTCCTGTTAACTTAGCCTCCTTAACCCTGAGACGGAGTGGGCGTGGCATTCTGGCATGGCATAGAACAGTTACTCGTTGGCTATTTCGGGTTGGGACAAGTGTAATCTTGGTCAAAGTTAGACAGAGACATGAACACAACTGAGTCAAAATGAAAATATGTCACCAAAAGCACAGCTACCGCCACGTTTGGTTGAAGAACGCAGCCACGCCTACCCCAGGGATTGCGAGGTGAACAAATGTTGCAGTTTTAGAACAGCTGCAGTCATTACTTTGTCCATTACAAGAGAGGACAACACTTGTATCACATGGAAATACCCCAAGAACAACGCACGCGATTTTCAAGCAAAGTGTGCGGCCACGCCCACTCCATTGCTGAAATGTGCATTATGAGACCTGTAGTTTTTTGTCAAGTGTAAACGAAGCTCTTCTTGTAACACGGATTCACACAAATTTTTAGGTCTCCACATAGGGCGTTAGAGGTGATTAATGGGAACCAACGAATGCCTCCACCAAGCCGAACTGCACCGGGGAAAGTATTTTTATTCCAACGCCGCCATCAAAGTCTCAGTCTTGATTGTAGTTGGTAGTTTTGCAGCCAGCTGTTGACCTCTCATACCGGTAGCCCACTGTTAATCTACTTAGTATGGATGCGGGGCAGACAAAACATACACATCTCAAGTTCTGAGCTATTTCTGCGAGTTGAGTGTCTAGGGCAAGCGCAAAAAGGTGGTGTCCAAAACTCACAATTTGTTTGGACCAGACATTGATATTTTTTTGCACTCTTTTGAATTATTACTAAACTTATTTGAGATAACGGCCATTTGGGCCACACATGGGGTTTTTTCTACTCTTAACACCGATCTTAAGTAAGAAAAAACGTTCATCGGCGAATTTCAGCTTTATGGGGGCGTTTCGTTGGCTCTCACCGATCACTGCCGCTGTCTTAGGGAATCTATATATTTCTGTGAAACAATGCGGTAGCAAAGGTTTCGTTTACACTTGCCAGGACTGTACAAGTCCGACCAAGATATGACGTTATCTAATAGGAAGTGGCAACAAGAACCAGCGAAAGGGCGGAATGCCCCTTCCCAGCCGAGCAGCGCCAAACCATCACTCATGGCCTATCCAATCATAATAGACCTCGAAAATACCAACAAACCTACATCAAGCATGTCGTCCTCTTTGGCAAATGGATCAGCCATCTCGAAAAAGTTGTCTATCTTTGGCTGTCCTTTGTTCGCATGCTCAGTGATGAATGCATTTTCTTCACAAGCAGTTTCCAGTACTGGGCATGAAATTCTGAAATGGTAGACACATGGTCCAGCATTATTGGAAAAATTCCATCAGGTGGAGGAGGGGGGGGTTTGTATTTGGTCCCTGGGCAGGAAGTCGTGTCTGGCTTTGAGGGATTTTATCTGCTCCCTCCCCCTCTCGCTCAAAGGAAGTAGCGGAATATCTCGGAAAACTGGGAAAAGTGCAGGAAGTTTGGGTAATCCAGGAACATGGTAATTAGGATGGAGAAAGGGGGGGGGGAGGCGGGGAACGGGGTGTACCGACATCGCCACATCACACATCACGATGCTGTACAAACGGTACACGCTCGATGGTTAGCACATCTAAGTCAGGCGGGGTTTATGCCGTAAACATTGGCAGCCGAGCATACCTCTATGGTACGATTTCAGAGTTACAGAAATCTATACTCTAGTTCACTGCGGATGAAGGGGCGTGTCAGACCGTAAGAATGTACCACGGCGCAAAACCCATTCTCTGCCAGTTGTTGAAGCGGGTATGCGAAGACGATTGGCAGAAAACCAGTGGTACGAACGATATGATATAGTCTTGTGCTTTACTCGCAGCAAACTAGACTATATGAACAACTTGAGAAGCTGGCTAACTCAGCGAACTCGTCCGAGTGCTGACAAACTCGTACAATTCTCAACAACTAAGGACTCAAAGCGTTTTCGACGGTTTTTCCTGCTGTTTTTAGGGAGTGCGCCCCTTAAACAGCTCCTGTTTCCTACCTCGGACGCCACTCCTTCTGCCACGGTGAAACTGAGCCCTTAACCTCATTGTTGTTAAGCATCGCAAACAAGGCTAGGTTTATTCGCGCCCGCCTCACTTTATCTTCAGGTAGGACCTAGGGAGAG